TTTTGATGATTTATTTAATTATAATTTGATTTATTTGAAAAAGAAAAATAGAATCGAAAATTTATTTTGATGATTTATTTAATTATGTTTTAATTTATTTGAAAGAGAAAAATAGAATCAAAATTTATTTTGTCCCATTATTTCTCACCTAAACCTTTATCCTAAATGTTGTTAGAATGTATTTAATATTTGATAAAATCAGGAGTTCAAATAGCCCAAAACAGAGGTTCAAACAGCCCAGCACAGCAGCATACCGAAAGGTTCGAACAGCCCAGCCCAGCCCAGCAGCAGACCAAAAGGTTCAAACAACCTAGCACAGCAGCAGACCAAAAGGTTTAAACAGCCCAGCATAGCAGCAGGCCAAAAGGTTCAAGTGAAAGATATTCAAATTAGTAATAATGGAGTGGAAGATATTCAAATTAGTAATAATGGAGTACAACGGCTATAAACGACTATAAATTCAAATGAATACAACGGCTATAAATGGCTATAAATTCAAATGAATACAACGGCTATAAGTTTCATTATATATACCAAAGCCTCTAATGTAAACAAGTTACAAAAAAAATCAGAAAATATTCTTTGATCTATAATCACTCACATCTATTCTCTAAAAAATTCTCTGAGAAGTGTTCTTTAATTTTTGTTTACATCCTCTTTTAGAAATTATACACTGAGCCTTATAGTATTAAGCTCATCTTTCCTATGTGAGATTTACAGAAAAATCAAAGCTTCATTTTATATATCTATCTTTGAGAGATAATTATTGTAACTTTCTGTGAAAGCAAAAACACATTATTTTCAATCTTGTAAGAGTGTAGTACAATTAGTGTTCTTGACTTAGAAAGTCTATGTAAAATCCGTAGAGGATTGCTCCATTTGTAAAGAGGTTGCTAGCACCCCCGTTGTCATGACCCGAACCTGCCCCCAAGGGTTAAGGACATAACTAGCCAGTAATCATGAGATTACCTATGGCCTCAAACCAAACAAGACATAAGTCGTCAGAGTAATGGGGGCCAAACGGAAGCAAAATTTAAAACTTTGTCCATAGAGTTATGCTTACATGGCACATCATAACAAACCATACATATGCATATTAATAACTCACAACAAAACATGTACTGCATAAGGTTCTGTACATACAGGATCATATAAGTCTAAGTCAACCCATCACGACTATATACAACAGATGCAAAGTCTTCGCCAACATGACAGAATATAAATACATAACAAAAGGGCGAAGACGGGTCTCGTGCGTGAGACACAAGGGCTGACTCTCCCAAAACCTTTATTGTTCCACATAGACTTCACTGGGGCTGGGTTTAGACTTCTCTTGGCTCACCTACAAACACATGAATGAGCGTGAGCGAAAGCCCAGTGAGTAATATCAATTAAAGAAGCTATGCAATCGATATGTAGAACAACATGCCTCAAATGGCCTTAAGCCCAATTCACACTTCTGTTTAATATATACACAATTTAGGTTAAATGACTGCGGTTCCAAACATACTGGCCTTTGGCCCATTTATCTTTCCATATCAAACTGGCCATTGGCCCATTCAAACTTTCATTTGTGTCAAACTGGCCTTTGGCCCATTCATTCATTCATGTCGAAACGGCCTCTGGCCCATTCATTCATGTCAAAACGGCCTCTGGCCCATTCATTCATTCTTGTCAAAACAGCCTCTGGCCCATCCATTCATTCTTGTCAAAACGGCCTCTGGCCCATTCATTTGGTATAGCAAACATTGTCCACCAATCGAATCAACGAACTTATAAAACTTACATAGAAGTAAGCAATTGGACAACAACATATTTCAGATATCTTTGTTAAGATATTACTCACAGTGATCAGTTGGTTGGTTTGCCCTGGAGCTCGACCCTACACATTTCATGAACACAAAAGGGTCACAAACAATTCAATTCGTTCTAAACTCACATTTTCCTCTTTAGGCTTCATTCTTATCTCTTTAACTCAATTGCAATGCTCAATACATGCCTAAGAGTACTTAGAAGTGAAAGAGAATGGAAAACGAAACTCATAATGCCTTTTCAAAATTTCAGAAAATAGGGTCCCCGCTCGAGCGGACCTATGAGGTCTGCAAAAGTGCTGGATGCATCAAAATTACGGTCGATCGTGAATTCTAATGCTCAAGCGGAAGGCCTCTCTACATGGCTCCCCGCTCGAGCGTAAACTTCCCCGCTCGAGCAGACACCATGTCTGCAGAAAATACTGGGAACACGAATCTCACGCTCAAGCGGCGGTTTCCCCGCTCGAGCGGACATCAAAATTTTGGAAAATCCACAACATGTTCTTGAGCTTCAATTCGACATTCAAAGGTTCTAGATGCATGCTTTTGGCTCAAACATCACATATACATGTACTAACATGGTATAAACACCAAATCACAACATTATGAAGCTCAATTTCACAAATTAATCACATGCATGTCCCAATTTACACCAAATTCATTACCAACATAATAATTTCATGCATTCAACACTTACACCCTTGTGAATTGTATATGCATGTGGCAAATTACTCTCATTCTCAACTTAGATGATGAAGAGAAGGTCAAAATAAGAGTTTTAATCAAAATCTCCCATGGATTATACATTTTGTGCTCAAACATGCAATTTCAAAACAATTCTTCACATGCATGTGCATATAGACTACCAAATCAACAAAACCAACTCAAATCATGTTAACTCTTACTCATGATCACCCAACTAGCTTGAATACACAAAATCACAAGTTCAAACTTATGAACCAAGGGGTGATTACTCACCTAGGAGCTTAATCCTTACAATTTATGGCAAATTCTTGAGTGTGCCTTCAAGATCACCAAGCTTTGAGGCCAAAACTCCAATTTCCTTCACCCTCTCTCTCTCTAGCCGACCCTCTCCTTTTCCTTAGAGTTTATAATCAGCCAAGTCAAGCTAAAGAAGAGAAATTGAGTATGTAGTGCTCATATAAAAGCCCCTCTTGTTATATTATTTTAATATATATAATAATAGAGCACTAATTCACTAATTAAATCAATTTAATCTGATCCGAATCAATTTTCAATTAAATTTCACCGTAGGCTCTAAAAATTATGCTAATCACAATGGCGTAATCAATTTTGGTTTCGGTGGCCGATAGGGCCTTCAATTTAATTCCCAAAGCAGATAATCAAACAGATATTCCTAGGTGAACAAATAGAAATTCAAAACCACATATTTTCACATAATGGCACACAAAATCATATTAAACACATAATCATGCTCATATTAAGGACCAATTAGCATACTACAGAACAAGGATATTACACCCGTGAAGCTAGAGCATACTGAAAAATCTCAAGTGAAGCTTGAGGAGTGGACGTAGGCCGAGTTGAAGCCGAACCACTATAAATTTGTTTGTCTCTCTCTCCCTTATCTCTTTATTTTATTTAAATTACTATAGCTATATTTCACATTTTTACTGTGCTAAAATCATTAACTGACATAGTTGTTAAAATACTTGTTTTAATTATTTTTATTTCATTAACTATATTTATCTGTTGTGCTAGTCATAATTTTCATTAGGGTATTATTAATTTTTAATTGTAAAAACCTAATTCACCCCCCTCTTAGGTTGTCTTTTGGGTAATAGGTGTCGTTTGATGGTTTTTCGCGGATGAAATATCCGTAAAAGGTTGTGCTGGTTTGAGATTTCTCCATGCTTTCTATTGTGAAGGGTATGGTATTGAGAATTATGATATAAATTTGGCATTGCACGAATTTTGAAAATGGAAATAAATGTTTTGGTACTGGCATTGCATATGCATAAAACCTTATGACTTTGTTAAGATTTATACATTGTGTTGTAGTGTTTCTACTGGGTTTTGGCTCATCCTATGTGGGAAAAACTATTTTCAGGTGTTGGTGATATGCCTCCATTAACGACTTAGCTTGGGAGGATTGTGGAGCTGAAGGTTCAGTGTTGTTATTTTGTATTTAATTTTGTACAAGCCTAGGGCTTTATCTGTATTGAGCTTACGACTTACTTTTGATGTACCCAAGCGTTGACTTGGAAAAATGTAAGCCTTTAGGGCATATGATTATCTATTTAGCTTTAATTTCTTTTCACAATCTTGTAACACATGTTGTAGATTCAGGATGTACTATTTATCAATGTATATCGCATATGTCACCTTTTGTATATCAAACTCTGATTAATGAAAGCTTATCAATTTATTAATGTTGTTATCTATTGGTTGTTATGAGATGGGTATATCGTGCTTATTCGAAGCGTTACAAAATACAAACTTAATCTAACTCTCCATTGCCATAATCAACCTACAAGTTTTCAATCAGATCATTATGAATTGTATTATGGGTTTCAATAGATTTAATCCTCTGGCGATTAAACATAAATTTATCATACCCCTGGTTTGGATCGCATGACACTTGAAATGGGGTATTAATGGTATCTGTTTGCAGTAGCGCTGCACTACGTTGATTTTCAAGAATATCACGCTTGTCTTCACTGATTGTATTGTGCAAAATAATGCACATTTTCATGATATAGTATAGATCCTCATCACTCCAACCTCTCACCAAAACTCTGACAATATTAAACGTGTTTGGAGAACTCCAAATGTCGTTTCAACATCCTTCCAACATGCCTCTTCCATCCTCTCAAATAGTTGTCTCTTTAAACCTTGAGGTTGAGATATTATTTTGACAATCATTGCCCAACGAGAATAAATACCATCAACAAGATAATATCTCATACTGTATGTGTGATTGTTGATAGTATAGTTGGTAGCAGAGGCAAATCATTTAGTTAATTGAGAAAATAGAAATGATCTATCAAGAACAATAATACCATTAAGAGAGCCAAGCATGCCAAAGAAAGCATGCCAAAGAAAGCATGCTAAATCCACAAGTCGTAGGAGGCGACTGCCACAAGTACAACAGTTGATTTGTGCACATGTCCAGTGTAAGCAACGGCTTGGGCGGTTGGACATTTATCATAATGCCAGTGGATACAATCTAAACTCTAACATTCCAGGGAACCCACGTTGCTCTCTTTCTTGCAATAATCTGGTGACATCTACCTCATTTGGGGATCTTAAGTGTATGCCTTTATAGATAGCAACAATCATTTTGGTAAAAAAATTCAAGGTTGCAATTGCAGCAGTTTCACCGATTCTGATGTACTCGTCCACAATATCAGCAGGTACGCCGTATTGAAGGATCCGAAGTGCAATAATTATCTTCTTCACACCGGATAACCTAGAAACACCGGTGGCATCAGGGATTTGGATAAAGTACTCATTGACTTGTTGAATATCATGTAAGATACTAAGAAATAATGACTACCTCATTCGAAAACATCTTCAGAAGTATTCTTTTGGGTAAACAGGATTAGCTGTAAAGTAATCTCTATAAATCTGTTTGTTGCCTTTGACCCTCTTACGATTAATTTATCGACGACTACTTGTGGAACCAACATGTTTAGTTAGTTGGCTTAGAGTTAACACTTATACTCTTTGTTGTTGCGCTGTTAACAGTTTCATCATCATTATATCATCATTAGATAATGAATATTCATCAAAATCTCCATTAAAGGCAGCTTTAGTGAAATTGCTTATTATGGGTGGGTAAATATGAAAATTATAGAAAACCTTGTGGGTAGGTAGAGAGAGTTTAGAAGATATAAAAATTATGGATAGGTGAATATGAAAATTGTAGAAAACTTTTTGTTATAATTTATAGAGAAAATTGTGGATGGTGAATAATGGGTAGTTGTTGGCGAGTGAATGGTGGATGAATAATGGATGTTTGTTGGTGAATGAATGTTGGGTGAATAATGGATGATTGTTGATGCGTAATTGTTTGTGAGTGAATGGTGGATGAATAATGAGTGATTGATGGTGGGTGAAGAATGGTGGTTAAGATTAGTGTGTATTAAAGAATAGGGATAGGTGGATGGTGGGTCAGAATTATAGGCACCTCTTCAGGACTAGTTGATAGGTGGTTGGTGGTTGTTTATTTTTTAGTTTTTAATGTAGTTAATATTTATTTATTTATTTTGTAGTGGTATGTTTTTTGGTCTGGTGAATTATATTTTAAAAAAAAATTAATTTTTAAAATTTTATATTTGTCTAGTTAGGTAGAATGTAACTATTTAATTTATTTTAGAAAAAGTTTGAAAAGGGTCACAAAAGAAAAAAAAATAAACAATAACAAAATCACTAAAAAAACCTATATTCGAACAACGCCTACAAAATTGGAGGGAAAGTTGGTTGAGATTTGCTAAAATGACATGTGGCTATTGGAGCACCATTGCTATAATTTGGCAATTTGCTACTATTCATTGCCAAATTATAATAATGGCAATGCTATTATAGCATTTTTCGTTGGAGATGTTCTTAATATGCCTATGATAGCATGACAAAAGTTAAAAAAAGTTTTTACAGTGCACCAGTCATGCATTTGATAAACAAATAGTTTACTCGGATGATGACTAGACCTATTTCAGTTGAAATATTAACTCAGACATTTAGACAAAATGAATCTGAAATAAAAGATTTTTTCAATCTAGGTTATTCCAGAGAAATTTACACCGAACTTAATGGTGTTTGGAAAACTCATATTGTAGACAACAAAGTAAAATTTCAAGAACACGTGGAAATCTTAACCAACAAACTAGATGAGCAAACAGGTTTCAATATCAATAAACAAATGAATTGGAATGAAGATCTTCATTTTGAAAAGATAAATATTTTCTTCAACTATTTGGCCTCATAGCCAATGAGTTTCAGGATCTAGTTTTTGAAAACATAAAAAGAAATTGTCTATTTGAAAAAGCATGAACTTTACTCTTGAAAGAGATTTTTTTTTTTTTTCATAAAAGAGCAAGTTGAAGATTACTGCAAAGAGATTAAACAAATCCTTTGTGATCTTTTCACAAAATTAATTACAATGATGGAATTCCTAACTAACCATTATTGCAATTATGAACAATGGTATGTGGAAGATATTGATTGGGCCATAACTAATCAAGTTATTTTCCAAATATTTGATCCATTACAATGGCTCAATTTTTCAATGATGATTAAGGTTATGCTCTTGTGGTTAATAAAAACTACATTTGGGGAAAATACTTCACATTCTAGATATCAAGCACAATTGGCAAGAGACAACAAGAACATTTTTATTAACCTTATCAAATTTGGTACCTCAAAGCCACTGAGGAATACAAATTTGAAAATAGTATACCAAATGAAGAAAAGGAACAAGAAGAATGGGAAAATATATATATTGGGCAGACAGTCTTTCAGTTGTGCTAGACAGTCTTTCAGTTGTGTCACAAGTGGCTTCAAACATTAATGGCTTAGCACCATTGTCATTCATGGTAACAAATGGAAGACTATTTATTACATTTTTTACCAATTTTCACATGACATTTCAACGGACTCTAGAACAAATATAGGAGGCACATAAAATGTTATTAGACATAGCTAAAAGTTCTATGATCATGGATGACTTTGAAGAATTTAGAAATCAAAAGTTCAATCAAGACCCTAATTCAGTTCCAAGTGAAAATGATGTTGATTATCTCAACATCGTTAATCCAATGGAAGCAAAGTGGACCCCAAGAAGACTCCGGATCAGCTCCAAATCTTATCCAGGACACGTGGAGTAATCTATATAATTTGACATAAAGTGATTAAGCAAGTAACGCTAGCCAATGCTACAAGACAAAATTACTTTGGACAAAAGTAAATGTTAGTAAATAATAGTTACATCTTTCAAACAAAAGGAGTGATGTATGTAGTGAGATAATTTTGTAAATAATGTAAGCAATGATGTAAATGGATAAACTTGTATACTGTGGACACCAAATTATATTTTGAAATCCGACAACTACTTGTATAAATAGGCAACTTGCATAATGAAGTATGTAAATTCTCTCCATCAAAATCTTTTTTTTTTTTAATTTCCTTCCTTTGCCTAACTTTTTTAACTTTGCCTAACTTCATAAATATTTATTGCTCCTTTCCTAGGGTGTGTATTATATGCCAGTTATGCTATTTGTGAGTTTGATTATTAGAAATGGTATAACTAAATACTATGGGAGTCATAACTATAAAAATAAAAAATAAACTGAGTTATAACCCAACATCATGAGGTATAACGAAACAACTCTTGAATGTTATAATAAACATCACAATATATCATAACTAATAACATAGTAAGTCATAACTAACAATACAAATATTGTAACAAAAGATGCATATGTACCATAGAAAAACCCTACAATACAACTATAAAACTCAACTTTGCTTCCATTTATTATAACTTTATGGTAGGGACCTAATTAATTAGTGCATTAAAAATATTAATGAAAGTGGTTCTACATTTTTTGCCACATATAATTGGAGTTGGGATGGTTGTTGTGTGGGGAACAAAGCAGTTGCTGTTGTGTAGTCATTGGGGCCTATTTTGGGATTCGTTTCGCTAATTCAAACCGTTTACTTTTTAAGATATATTGAGTATACCATATTTGTAAAAAATCAAGTTGATTAGATATCATTAATCATTTCATCGACTCATATTTGTATTAAGTTTTATACTCATATTTGTCATTCATTTTTGTATATACAAATGCAATTTGACAAAATTGAATTGTTAATAATGTCTGATAAATGTGATTTTTTGTAGATATGTTTTACTGAATGTACCCTAAAAATTGAACTATTTGAATCATCGAAATGGATTCCGAAATGGGCTCCAATGGCTGAACAATAGTGGTTAATGTGTCTATCGCATAACAGCAACCCTATCTCCTCACTTATTAAGATAAATTGGGTAGAACATACCTGTAAAAATTCAAGTTGATCAAACATCATTAACCATTTAATCAAATTGCATTGCATCTACAAAAATGAATGGCAAATGTAATTTGGAGTACAAAACTAAATACAAATGTGAGTTCATGAAATGGTTATCGATGTTTGATCAACTTGATTTTTTTACAAGTATGTTCTACTCGATGTACCTTGAAAAATGAATGGTTTGAATTATCAAAACGAGTTCCAAAATGGCCCCAATGGCTGCACAACAGTGTCTGCCTGGGGCACAACAACTACCCACATTTTCAAAAAGTGAACAGTTCAAATTATCGAAATAGGCCCCAAAATGATGACACATTGTTTACTTTACTTTTAATTATTTATATTTGTTAATTTTCTATTTTTAATGGTCCCTTCTTAATGAAATTTGGTAATTAGTAATTAATGAATAATTTATTTATTGGACCCTTTAAAATTAATGAGAATTATGAGAAGGATTTGGATCGTCTCCAGTCTAAAATTGAATTGGATAGTCTAGTCCGGGCCGTTGGGTCCATTTTTGGGTCCTGTTTTCAATAATTTGTACCATTCACATTTTAGGATTCGTGAGTACATCATCCCTACAAAAAATCAAGTTGATCGGATAACAGAAATCACGTGTTCAGATTGATTTTGTATGAACTATTAATTTTCTCACTGTCAATTTTTTTCATACAAAACTGATCCAAACACGTGGTTGTCATTGTCCGATTGACTTGATTTTTTTGCAAGGATGATGTACTCAATGAATTTTAAAATGTGAACGGTTCAAATTATCAAAATGGAATCCAAAAATGGACAGCACCTCTCCAGTCCTGCCAATCCCTTATGAGAAAATGTAATTATGTTCTCAACATCTTCAACCTTGTACATTTTTTTAGTCGTCCTCTTAATAATTCTTCATGTATTTTTGACATTGATTGAGTATTCATTTTTTAGGAGAGAATTTCAAAACAGTGGAATAGATATAAAAAAAAAAATTACAAAAACTTATGGTGTGCAAGTGATTTTGTGATGGGATGCAAGTGAAAGATTATGAGGGTGCAAGTTCCTTGTTTGTGTAAAAAAAAAAAATTGCTCCCACTGAAATCTATAATTTTCCCTTTTTTTTTTTTTTTTTGGTTCCCAAGAGAGAATTCATTAAGTTTACTTTTGCCGACTCATATTTTCTTGCTAAAAGTATATTTTTTGCTTATGCAAATTTGTGTCGGGAAAAATGCCACACAATCATCATATTTGAACTACTTTTACCAACTCAAGGTAAATTGCCGATGATGGATAAAGGCTTTTATCGACAACTATGCTTGTCACTAAAGGCATTACTTTTACCAACGTAATGATAATTTCATGGCAAAAAGCTTTGCCGACTCACTTTTACCTACGGGCTGCCAACGTAGCTCTGTGTATCGGCGATGGAATTAGATGTTATAGCAACGTGTGAACCCCCTTGTTATTCCCTTTCTATGGAGTTGAATGTGCTACAATCTACGTATTTCTAGTGTGGTTAAACAATATTAGCCATCATGCTCAATCATAACGAAAATCGAGAGTAATTGGTTCCTATTGAGATTGTTGACGATGACATGATGGCATTAAAGAATTTGGATTGAGGCTTTGACAAGTATGGTTTAACAAAAGATATGGTTGACACCTAAGAAGGAGCAACTTCAGTGGGCTTGTATAATGGTTGCTATTGCCAAATTATATGGTGGCTGCACCTAAGAAATCCTCTCTAGTGGCCTGCCAAAAGGTCTGTTAAAAACTTATATTGCCAAATCTTGTGCATCATTTGTGCCAACTCAACTTACCCAAGAGAGGGTTTTGATCCAATGGTCTGGATATGAGACATCCATTAGATAGAATTAAGTATCCTACAAAATAAAATAAAAAAATCACTTTGTTGACCTTATTGTTTGGCACTAAGTGCTTGAATGAACAAGCACTTATTAATGAAATTGAAAAGCTAGTAGATGCAATTATTGAACAATGAACAAGCACTGATTAGCAATACAAATGGTAAATTATTGTTTATAATAGCCTTTGAAAGATTTGATTATGATAAATTAAAATCTTACAAATAATTCATGAAGATGTGTCATGAATTTCCCAGCCAAATTCATGGAATTTAGGCCTATTTAAGGCCATTTTATATTTTGCAGTTGCTTTATGACCATTACCTAAACTAAAATTATTTTTCGTGGATTGCAATTCTATTTGATAACAGACATGTTCTCACACAGCTTGGCCCCTCAAAGATTTGTAATGAAAGTAAATAAACTTGTAAATGGGCAATTTGGTTGGGCAAGATAACTATTTGAATATGCTGGCTCTATTTTGGTTCATCACTTCTCTAATGATCATTCATATCAAAATGAGTTTTTTTTTTTTTTTGGTTCATTTGCCTTGAACTTCTTTGAGATAATGAGAATTAAGTTATAGCCCCATTTCATACAAAGAAAGATTTTATGGCAATGTTTAAATAAACAATTTGATTATTGTTATGTGACTGTAAATAACTAGATGTGCTTCTAATTTTTTAATATTTGTTTTGGTTATCATGATTACTCCTTGCAATTCACATTGTGAAATTTTTGCAATCATGGGTACAATTGCTGAGAATAGAGTGTGAGCCCTGTGAAGCATCTTGAATCATCCCATTTCACTACCATCACAAAATAACAGGAAGATATAATCAATTAGAGTGAGCCCTCCACACTACACACATCTCTTTTATTGTCTCGACAATTATTTTTGGTAGTTATTTTGTCATTTTCCTCACACTGTAAGATTAGATTAGATTAGAGGCAGAGAGGTGTCTTTGTTCACTTTTTGATTCTGTGCTTATTCTCTATCCTTACCATTGACAATTTGGGCCCACCCTTAGACATATATGGCTGGCAGTATGTGGTGGTTGTGCAGTAGGGGCCTGGTTTACCGCTAGCCTATGCCGCCCCTACTTACAATACTTGTTTTTATGCAAATAGAATACTATCATTGGTTGAATTGTAGAAGATAAATTGATCATTTGTTGTGTGTGAAATTTCATTAGATTTTGATGTTTGATTCACTCCATGGAAGAACCTATTTGCATTATGCTGCTTTCTATAGCCATCTAGATTGTCTACAAGCTATTCTTTCTACTGCCCTTTCCACCTTTGTTGCACATTCCTGGTGACTCTCTCTCTCTCTCTCTCTCTCTACACACACACACACACACACTCATATATGTTTGTGTAGAGAATATCCATGAAGTTGCTAAAGCTGTGGTTGTTTTGTTTAGTTTGATTTGGAGTTGATGGCAGGGGATTTGCAAGGTTTGTGAATATAAGAGATAAAAATGGAGCAACCCCATTGCACTTGGCAGCCCGACAAGGATGGCCGGAGTGTGTTCATATGTTGTTAGACAGCGGCGCTCTTGTTTGTGAATCTACTAGGGGATATGAGTAAAACTCTCTTATTGAAGGTTTTCTAGTGTAATGTTCTTGCACTGTTAATTTGTCATTAATATTTATAAGAGTCATGTTTGCAGTTACCCTGGGATTACACCACTTCATTTTGCAGTTCGTGGGGGTTCATTAGATTGTGTTCGGGAATTACTTGCTTGGGGGGCTGATAGACTTCATAGAGATTCATCTGGGTAAACTTTTATTTTTAATTTTTTTTTTTAGAAAATTAGAAGGAAAATTGTAAAACACAAGACTTAAAAGGCCCGTTCCGGGACCGAAATTGCGAAATGACCACCAAAACCACTGAAACTTGGCACGGACAGCTTGTTCAACCCTAAATAGACTTGTAGGAACAAACGGGACCTCGATTGGATTTCCGGTTAGAAAATTACAAGAAAAAAAGTAAAATAGAAGACTTAAAATACCCATTGGGCGGCTGAAATTTTGAAATGACCACCGAGACCACCGAAACTTGGCACGGACAGCCTTTTCAAGCCTAAATAGACTTGTAGGAACAAATGGGACCTCTATTGGATCTTCGGTTAGAAAATTAGAAGGAAAATTATAAAACACAAGACTTAAAAGGCCTGTTCGGGGGCCGAAATTGCGAAATGACCACCGAAACGGTACGGACAGCTTGTTCAAGCCTAAATAGACTTGTAGGAACAAACGGGACCTCGATTGGATTTCCGGTTAGAAAATTATAAGAAAAATGTAAAATAGAAGACTTAAAATGTTTGTTCGGGGGCCGAAATTTTGAAATGACCACCGAAACCACTGAAACTTGGCACGGGCAGCCTTTTCAAACCTAAATAGACTTGTAGGAACAAATGGGGCCTCTATTGGATCTCCAGTTAGAAAATTAGAAGGAAAATTGTAAAACATAAGACTTAAAAGACCCGTTCGGGGGCCGAAATTGCGAAATGACCATCGAAACCACTAAAACTTGGCACGGACAGCTTGTTCAAACTTAAATAGACTTGTAGGAATAAACGAGACCTCGATTGGATTTTCGATTAGAAAATTACAAGAAAAAATATAAAACACAAGACTTAAAAGGCTCGTTCGGTGGCCGAAATTGCAAAATGACCACTGAAACTACCGAAACTTGGCACGGGCAACTTGTTCAAGCCTAAATAGACTTGTATGAGCAAATAGCACCTGATTGGACTTCCCGTTACAAAATTAAAATCAAAATTGTAAAATTCATATTATTTTTTATTTTTTTTTGTCAATCTAATATTGTTTTTTCTTTTTTCATGTGACAAATTGGCAATGGTGGAAAACAGTTTCGGCTGCATCAGAAGATTTGATTTTGTGTTTTTGGAAATATTTTGACATAGGATTTTGGTAAATGATTTATGGATTAAATGTTTAGCATCAAAATATTTAGTTTTGTGTTTTTAAAAATATTTTGACATAGGATTTGGTAATGTATTTATAGGTTTGATGTTAGTAGTTTGTAAGTACTTTCGTATACATGTTTTAGATCGTCAAAGAATTGTAATTATATTTATTGGGATTTTTCATAGCTATTAATTTTGAATTAGTATGAATGTCTTATACATGTGTATTATTATTTACATTACATTTGTGTATATATTGTGCACAGGAAAACATGTGTTTTGGATTATTTTGAATAGGAAAATTATTAAAATCAAAATTTGTGTAGTGAATTTTTAGTGACAGGTGGTGTTTTTGTCGCTGTTAATATATTTGGCGACAACATATTGTTTTTGTCGCTAAAAGTTAGTGATTATTTCAGGAACTTTTAGCAACCAAAACTTACTTGTCGCTAAAAACGTGATTTTTAGCGACCAAATTAATTTTGTCGTTAAATAGTACTTTCAACGACGTATTTATTTGTCGCTAAAACTACATAACCTATCCAAATTTTAACCTTTTAGCGACAAATTGTCATTTTATAGCGACAAAATATATGATTTTTGGCGACCAATTTTGCTTGTCGCTAAATTTCTACAAACGGTGAAAATTTCTGATTTCGTCGCCAATACTTTTAGTGACAGGCCTTTGGCGACCAATTGTATACTTTGTCGCCGATTCTTTTGGCGACGAAATTTGTACTTTTGGCGACCAATTTTTGGGTCACCAAATGTGTTTTTTGTTGTAGTGGCGCTTTATGTGTAACATGTACCTCAGCTTTGCTTGTAGACCATGCTAACCATAGTGTACTTGGACCGAGCTACTCAACAGCAAAGTCCTAAATAGAAGCCAAAAATACCTCGGCTCAAGATGGTTTGACCGGGCTAACTGTCACCGCGCCGATCGTGGTGACCGAGCTAACCACCAAGCTCCTTCAGACGGGCTATCTGCAAGGCTCCTTTGGACTGGACTAATTACAAGGCCCCTTTTACTCAGTCATTCTTACTGTGGCCTACAGAATGGCCCATTACCCAGCTCGGCCCAATTTACCTATAAATTACCCTCTCATGTTCTACTCGATGTACCTTGAAAAACGAATGGTTCGGATTATCAAAACGAGTTCCGAAATGGCCCCAATGGCTGTACAACAGTGTCTGCTTGGGGCACAACAACTACCCCCATTTTCAAAAAGTAAACAGTTCAAATTATCGAAACAGGCCCCAAAATGATGACACATTGTTTACTTTACTTTTAATTATTTATATTTGTTAGTTTTCTATTTTTAATGGTCCCTTCTTAATGAAATTTGGTAATTAGTAAATAATGAAATTTGGTAATTAGTAAAAAATTGGCATTCATCTCAATAATATGACAAAGATCTATAAATCATTCATTGATGATAACAAATTAACAGTTTTTGAACGAAAGGAAAACGCATAATCATAATTCATTAGTCCAAAATTGCAAAAACAAATGCATAGTTTATCACAAATGTCTTGAAAATAAACACGGGGAAAAAAAATACAATAGTGATAACATAAGTCTAGTAACAATAGCATCTGTCCAATGAATAATCTGTAATCTCCCATAAAATTCATCACCACAAAATCAACCACTTCAACTACTCGAAAAAACTCCCATCTCTTTTTATTTTTATTCAATTATTTATTGCAATGCTAGTTTACACACTGTTTGTGCGGAAGTCTGAAACCAAAAATAAAATAAAATCTTAGAGTGATTATTTTGCTGATTATTTTTTGAAGGATAAAATTGGAACATTAATCAAATTGAAACTTCTTTTGGAGAAGTTACAAAAAAGTAGGACTTAATTGTCCAAATTGAAATTGATAGGACTCAATGGTAACTTAAAATTAAAAGCGATACTTATGGTAATTTTCTTTTAAAATAATCCAACATAACCCAAATTTGCTCATTTAGGACATGTTTGATAATGTTTATGTTTATAGATTTATGTTTATATCTACCCCCCCAAAAAAAAAATATCTAAATATTGTAAACAAAAACCTATTTGATGTCTATATTTATTTTTAAAAACTTGTCAAAAGTTTACAGATTTTACTAAATTCTTTTAACTAGAAAAAAATTGATTTCACTTGTTTAAATAATAATAACAATAATAATCTTTCCTACTCCTACCCCTCCGACCAATACTCACCATTGATCACCACCACAGGTCACTACATCCCACCATCCCCACCTTTGCCCATCTTCGCTGACGACCACCTCTCACAACGGAAAGTCACCTCTAACTGCCACCAACCATCTCCTACAATTGACAACCACCTTCAGCCACTATCTCTGAACATCTGCTACTCCTACAATTGACAACCACCTTCAGCCACTATCTCTGAACATCTGCTAATCACCTTCGGCCACCATCTCCCACAGCCGACAACCACCTCAGCAATCATCTCTTGCCAAAAACCACCTTCGGCGACTGAGTTGAATTGGGTGCCCGTTAGCAAATCACTCCGACAAACTCATTTACTTTTTTAAACTCTTTTTTCAATGGATGGAGTGTAGTGGTGATGGGATGGTAGTGGTAAAGGAAGTGGTTGTGGGGTGGTGAAGCTGGTGGTAGAGAAGATGATGGCAATCGTGGTGGGTTACTAGATTTGTTGCTTATTTTTGTTAGAAAATGATTCAAAATCATTAAGAAGTAAATGAGAAATTAATTCCAAAGATCACCACTTGAATTTTGGTTTTGTCATTTCCCGGCGTTGATTTGTTCATGTATGTATTTTTGAAGAAAAATTATATTAAAAAAATATTTTTGTTTATTTAAATTTTCCAAAAAGTATAAAAGATGTTACTGTTTCTGGTATCCGTTCTATGTGAAGAGACACAACTCAAGTTTCATGACTATTCCAAACAGTCACGAAGAACTCTATATAATCATCCCTGCTTTGCATTTTTCAAAAATTTGATTCCCTTTCTCTGCATCATACATAGAGTTTCAGTATGAGAGTATAAGACACAAATAGTTCGCTAGACACACAATTGAAGTGCTTCAATATGTGATTGTGAAGTGAATTAATCTCATAACACTATAGTGAGGGACGATTTCCATAATGTCCAACACTGGACTCTATCTGATTATTTATGTACAATCTACATTCTGTAAGCTTGCATTTTTTTTTTATTGTCTTTATTTTTAAGGGTAAATTATGCAAATAGTCCTTGTAGTTTACATGATGTATTAATTTGGTTCATATGTTTCAATTTGCTCGATTTTGTCCCTTAATTTAACGGATTGTGTCATTTTAATCCAATAAATAATGGTTATTAAGTTAATTTAACGGAAGGTCAAATAATATGTCAATTTGGTCCCTGTACTTTACACGATATGTCAATTTAGTTCCTATAGTTTCAATTTTCTCGATTTTGATAGAGACTAAATTGACATATTGTGGAAAATACAAGGACCAAATTGACACATTATTTGACTGTCTGTTAAATTAACTTAATAACCGTTATTTATTGGATTAAAATGGCACAATCTGTTAAATTAAGGGGCAAAATCGAGCAAATTGAAACTATAAGGACCAAATGACACATCGTGTAAATTACAGAAACTATTTGCATAATTTTCCTTATTTTTAATTAAATATGAACCGTGTCTACTTGTTTTGTTTTGGAAAATAAATTACATTTTATAGATAATTTTGATACTATTTTTTCATTTGTTTTTTTATCCAAACTCAACAGGTTCCAATGTTCAACAGAATTTCTCTCAAATTTAAATATGAAATTAAGAGAACATGAGGGGTCCACTATGAGTCTTATTCTAATGATTCAAACTGTCCCTTTTATAGAGTCTTCAAGGTATATCTTTCATGGAAAAAATTAGATCGATTCGATAATCGTGACATTTTCACTTTATTGCGTCTCTGAAAAAATAAATGACAAATATATTTTTTAAAATAGACCATCTATTTTTTTTTTTGGAGATAAATGATAAAATAGAAAGGCTACGATTGTCAGGTCAGCCTAATTTTTTCATGGATGATGAACACGGAAGGTCCTACAAAATGAAAGGTTCGAATCATTAAAACGAGACTCATAGTGAACCCCATGAAACCCGACCCTAATTTTAAATAAGTTTGTAAGATGCAAATGATTTATTTCTTGTTTATAAATTTAGATATATTTAAATAGACTTCCAAATGGAAGAAATTTTTTTTTTTTTTTTTATCAGCAAAAAAAATCTTTATTGACACTCCACTTCACCTAACCCACTATCACCTCCACTACACCTACTACCACATTTTCTTCTATATATAGATTGTATAGGAATTGTAATTTATCAATCTTGTAACACAACAATATATATCAATCAATAATACAGTATTTTCTACATTTGCATAATTTTCCTTATTTTTAATTAAATATGAACCGTGTCTGCTTGTTTTGTTTTGGAAAATAAATTACATTTTATAGATAATTTTGATACTATTTTTTCATTTGTTTTTTTATCCAAACTCAACAGGTTCCAATGTTCAACAGAATTTCTCTCAAATTTAAATATGAAATTAAGAGAACATGAGGGGGTCCACTATGAGTCTTATTCTAATGATTCAAACTGTCCCTTTTATAGAGTCTTCAAGGTATATCTTCTATATAAAAAATTAGATTGATTCGATAATCGTGACATTTTCACTTTATTGCGTCTCTGAAAAAATAAATGACAAATATATTTTTTTAAATAGACCATCTATTTTTTTTTGGAGACAAATGATAAAATGGAAAGGCTACGATTGTCAGGTCAGCCTAATTTTTTCATGGATGATAAACACGGAAGGTCCTACAAAATGAAAGGTTCGAATCATTAAAATGGGACTCATAGTGAACCCCATGAAACCAGACCCTAATTTTAAATAAGTTTGTAAGATGCAACTCATTTATTACTTGTTTATAAATTTAGATATATTTAAATAGACTTCTAAATGGAAGAAATTTTTTTTTTTTTTTTATCAGCAAAAAAATTCTTTATTGATAAAAAAATCAAAACATTACATCAATAAAGATGTTGGATGCACAAGTATCATATCAAAGCAAAATGATTCCAACTAAGTTGTCACCAGTAAGCAAGCCCGATCACTTGTTAATATCACAAGAAGTTGTATGAGTAACCAACCAAACAAGATCAAAGCAAGACAAAAGATAGAAAGCCAACAACACAAGCAGCCAAACTCCACCCCTAGCCTGCTATGCACTTCAAAAGGATGAAATTGGCATACAAGTATGGTGTGATAATACCATTTTGATAAATAAATGTCATCTTTATAGGTATTTTGATTTAAAGTAAATGATCCACAGTGCCACTTGTTAACAAATGCCTAATACAAAGGGATCCGCATTAATGCATAAATCTTATTTCTCACCTTTTAGACAAAAGCCAAATGGATCCTCATTAATAAATAAGTAATGTTATATAAACACATTTTCTAAGCTCATATTAATAAATACACTTGAGACTTTTGACTTTCGTATCTAATTGTAAGAAATTTGGTAAAAATATGTTTATGTATATCATTTTTTTAAATAAATGTACGCTCAACGTACTTATATCAAGGCGTGTAAATAGGGTGAAAGAGTACTAGTCCTGCTCTAACTTAAAAGTTAAACCTATTATTATTTTTATTTTTTTTACAGGTAAAAATTAATGTTAATTATTAGAGTAATACTTATAGGAGTCAGTCTTTCAATCTTTACAAAATACTAAGTGTTTGCCGTCTAAATTCAACTCACCCAGGGAGAGTTAAACCCATAACCTCCCCTATGGGACTAAACCTTTAAGGTGTGTTTGTTTGAAAGGACTGGATAAGGGATGATTAAAATCCACCGGACTATTAGTTGTGGGATATATTATCTTTAGACTATTTGATTGGAGTGGATTTACATGTCATGTTTGTTTAGTTATGGAATTAGATTGCAAGAAAGTTCTATTCAATTGGATAGGGTATAAATCCTATATTTGTTTGAGATATTATGGAGAAAGATAAATGTTCAAACGACTATTTTATCCTTTTAAATTATTTACTAAGTAATAACAATATTAAATAAAAGTTTATTTTATTTTATTTTTTACACAATTAAATAAATTTATTTTCTAAAAATTAAATAAATAAAATATCAATAAAATATATGTTATTTTTTTAATTAAAATTTTAAATAAATTTATTTTAAAAAATAATAATAATTAAATAATGAAATTAAATAAAACATCTATTAAAATTTAAATAATGAAATTAAATAAAATATAAATAAAATTTTAAAATAAAATATCAATAAAAAATTATTTTAAAAAATTAAATAAATAAAACATCAATAAAAATTAAATTAAAATGATTATTTCACCCTTTTGACTTTTTGATTTTTTGGGTAGTTGAATTCAAAGGACAAAATAATAATTTTGTCCGAGTGGTTTCCCCCACAAGCTACCCTTGAATAGTAAAACATCTATTAAAATTTAAATAATGAAATTAAATAAAATATAAATAAAATTTTAAAATAAAATATCAATAAAAAATTATTTTAAAAAATTAAATAAATAAAACATCAATAAAAATTAAATTAAAATGATCATTTTACCCTTTTGACTTTTTGATTTTTTGGATAGTTGAATTCAAAGGACAAAATAATAATTTTGTCCTAGTGGTTTCCCCACAAACTACCCTTAAATAGTATAAAATTTTTAACTTTTTTAATAATTTTTTAATTTTTTGTCGTCATTAGTTTATCCCAAACAACCCTAAGCCTAAAAATGAGCTATTCTATCATTTTCCATAGTGAAAAATAAGATTATGCATGCGTTTTTCATTCAAAATCTTCACTTTAGCGCATCTATAAAAGGACAACTAAGCAACATATAAGCAATTGAAAGAATGAGTGCAGTACTCTTAAACTCAGTCATGGAACCCGAAGTTTCTCACCTAGTGTCATGCATCTTCCTCTTCCTCCTCATTCCTCTCTTGCCCCCTTCAAATTCATCATCTTTTCAGTTTGTGAAGCAATTCACTGGTTCTAAGAAGGGTGACAATGTAAGAGGACTCCAAGAAATCAGAAATTATCTTCAGAAGTATGGTTATCTAAGTTATTCCTACTCTAAAAATCCCAATTATTTTGATGATACATTAGAGTCTGCTGTCAAAGCATACCAACTCAATTACCATCTTAATGTCAGTGGAACCATAGATACTAATACACTGTCACTCATGGGAACGCCTCGGTGTGGGATGCCGGATATAGTCAGTGGCACCCCGCACCAACTCCATGAACTTTCTTCTTATTATGTGTAAAGGTACACCAAATAGTCCAAGTTCAACCTCTCCTGGGCACTTCAACCCAGCACTTCCCACGATGTTCAAGGCCGTATTGCACAAGCATTTAGCAAATGGGCTTCTGTTTCACACTTCAATTTTTCAAAGGGTAAAGAGTTTACACATGCTGACCTGCAGATCAGTTTCCTACACCGTGATCATGGAGATAATAGCTCGTTTGACGGCCCTGGAGGAGTCCTAGCCCACGTGAACATGCCACCAAATGGGAAGCTTTACTTTGATGCAGAGCATTGGGCGGTTGGTGCAGTTCCGGGAGCTGTCGACATAGGCACTGTTGGGTTGCATGAAATAGGACACCTTCTTGGACTTGGGCATAGCACAGTTGCTGAAGCTATCACTTAAAAAAAAATTATTTATGGATTATTTCCAACCCAGCAATGCTAGGCATCATGAAAAATCTTTCATAAAAATAATCATGAAAGTTTTGTGACCCTTAGATTACACTTAGAATAAAACATCACACACTAATCAAGGTAATCTAAGGATCATAAATCTTTCATGATCGTTTTCATGAAAAAAATTTCATGATCGCTAACTTTTCTCATTTGTGCCAGGATGATATTGATAGAATAAGAGCTTTATATAATTAATCATTCCTAAGGTTATTAATCCCTTTATCACCTAATACAAATTCATGACTCAACTACGCATACTAAAAATTAATAAAAATAAATAAATAAAGGTTACAAGCAGATTATATAAGTTGTAACAAACAGCCTTACATATGCAGCCAAAATTATCAAATAATTTTTTTTTTTTTTTAAATCTCCTTTTTTAATGAATGCCATAGTCTGTTATTTCTTGTTATCATATGGACACTTACTTGTTTGATTTTTTTGTTTCTTTTTTCACTTGATCCTATGTTGTTGTTGGCATTTTGAATTTTGAATTTATTGAGCCATTGGTAGAGAGAAAAAATGGGAGAAAAAAGTAAATTAAATAGAAGTTAAACTCTTTTCACAAATTCCTTTTCTTTGCTTTTCTTCCCTCCACAAATCTAAGGTCTAAGTACAACATTAAAACTATGTTTGAATGATAGGAATTAATGAGATGAAATGGGAATCTTGCTAATAGGAATGACATTACTAAGGCCAAAATGTATCTGTCAATGGTATTTAGTTTAGTCATGAATTTTTTATGGGGAAAATTATAAAACTTTAAACGTTAGTGGATCCATTTATCTTTTTTATTCTTAATTGGTTCATATTCCTAAAAGATTGAGATTCTCATGGGAGTGTCGTGCTCACAGGTTTCTACTCCATTTGGAAAAGTGATTCCAATATGTATAGATAATCATAAATCACATTATTCTTATTCTAAGTCGTTCCAAATGTTGAAACTTAAATATCAGGAAGCACATTACAATTATCCTTAATATTCGTGCCATTAAGACTGAACATAAATGGAAAATCCCCAAAGCTAATCCCAGATAACTTCGGAGGCTAACCCAACGATTAAAGTTTTCCAGTTTCAAAATCAAAATACGCACAAGAAATGCAAGAAAGTAAGGTGTAATGAATTGTAAGCAAGCCATACCAAGTTCCCAAAAAGATAAAACAAAATTCCAATTAAAACAGAATTAGCACAGGAGAAAGATGTGCTGGCTAAACCTCCTGAATGGAGTATGAGACCTAATTAATTTATTAACGATATTTAATTTGATTGAGTATTGGTTCTAATATATTTTTTATATATTATATTTAACTTTTGAAGGCCCGATGAGTATTAAAAAAAATCTGATTAGTAACAGCTAAGACTTTGATAAAGAGTTTAAGAATCAATAATATTTATTGGTATTGTTTTTGTTTTTTCGTAGGAGGCAGCGGCTGAAACATCTTTCGGTGGTATATACTTGGTTATCAATTCGGTGGATTTGGCATTGTGTGGCAGCATAGTGCTTTGTGTAAAAGTTTCAATTGGTGAGGATTACTGCTATGTATTTGACTTGGTCAAGTTTAAGATTTTGTGCTTTGGTTTCTGTTTTGTTTTCCAAGCTTTTTATTACGTTTCGGCTTTACTTCGAAGATAATTTATTTATTTATTTGGTGAGGTTTTTTTTTATTTATTTATGATTATTTAAATTTTAATTAAGGGTGATTTGTGAGATTATTCATGTTTCGTTTGTAATCGTTTGAAAACTCTTGGTTGATAGTGAATCGGATTTCGTTCCCGTGGACATACCTCATATTGAGGGTATCACGTAAAAATTCTTGTATCATTATTGATTTAATTTTTTCGCATTAGTTTTTATTTATATTGATTGATTTACTTGTGAGAAATCGTCTATTTTCCCTAACAACTAGTATCAAAGTTTATGGTTTATTTAGATTTATTTATTTGTGTAAATCAATGGGGGAATGTGGATCGTATGAGTAGCTTCAATGGAAGCAATTGAGTAACTTTGAAAACTAAAATAGATGGCCTATTATTTTGTAAAGATTTGTATAGGCCCATTAAGGGTGACAGTGGCAAACCTAAGGGTATGAAAGATGATGAACGGAAGATGTTTAATCGAAAAGCCGTTGGTGTTATCCGTTAATGGATTGATAACAGTGCGTCTCATCATGTTGCTACTAAATCTTCAGTACATGATTTATGAAAAACAAAGGTCTTTATGATAGAAAATCAATCACAAATAAGCTTTTTTGTTTCGTAAGTTAGTTAATTTAGAATATAAAGATGACAAGCCCATTCTGAAACATTTGAATGAAATGAAGAGTATTGTTAACCAACTTGTTTCTATAAAAATTATTTTTGATAATGAGTTGTAAGCTTTGATGCTGCTTAGTTCTTTACCCAAAAGTTAGAAGACTTTGGCTGTAACGGTTAGTAATTTAGCACTCAATAGAGTTGTCACAATAAACCAAGTCACCAGTAGCTTGTTCAATGAAGAAACTAAAAAAAATCAGCGGGTTCTTCTCATTCGGAGACATTTGTTGTGAGAGGTCGAAGGAAAACAAGTGAAAGGAGTAAGACTCCTTATAGTCATGATCAAAGCCGTGACAAATCGAGAGATGATTCTTTTTCAAAGAAAGACATTGAGGGCCATTATTGCCATGAGAAAGGGCACATGAAGCAGGAATGGAATACCGAAAGCTTAAGAATAAGGAGAAAAGGCCTAACAAAAGTGTTGATAAGAAGCAAGAAGATACAACGGCGGTTACTACCGATGGTGGTCCTATGGTCGTTCGTGAAGATAATCACCATGCTTGGTTTCGGTTTTTCAAAAACTGTTTTCAGAAAATTTTACTTTCTTATTTTTCGTGTTTTTTTTTTTTACTATTTTTTTAATATTTTAAGTAATTTTTTTTACTTTTTAGACATACCTAACATAAATATACCTAAAAAGTAAAAAATTTGTGAAAGAAGCCTTTTAAAAATTCACTAAATATCAAAAATACAAAAAAAAAATACGAAAATTCAGTACATTTTTTGTATTTTTATGTATTTATTAATTTTTAAAAATATTTTTTCGTAAATTTTTTACTTTTTGAATACATCTAAATAAGGTGTATCTAAAAAAGTAAAAAAAATATTTAAAATTTTAAAAAAATTCACTAAAAACAAAAAAACACGAAAACCAAAAAACTCAGTTTTCAAAAAACTTAACTCAAATAACTCAAACCAAACACACTGAATTGTGTCAATTTTGTAGGCCAAGAGAGCAATTAGGTGATTGATTCCGGTGCTCTTTTCATGTGACTTCTCAAGTTGATTTCTTTACTTCCTACACCAAAGGAGATTATGGGTGTGTTCAAATGGATAATGAAGGTTTGTCCAAGATTGTTGGCATAGGTGATGTCTGCTTGGAAACAAATTTGGGTTGCAAGTTGTTGCTTAAAAATATAAGGCATATTTCTCGACATTCGTCTCAATTTAATCTCTACTGGAAAGCTAGATGATGAAGGCTATAACAACAAACTTGGTGATGAAAAATGGAAGCTCACAAAGGAATCTTTGGCAGTGGCTAAGTGTAAAAAAACTCGCACACTTTATTCGATGCAAGGAAAAATTTGCAAAGATGTTGTCAATGCACTTGAGGATGATGCTTCTACCGAATTGTAGCACAAGCGGCTTAGAAACATAAGTGAAAAGGGGCTACAAGTTTTGTTCAAGAAAAAGCTTCTACCCGGTTTGAAAGGTACATATATTAAAACTTATGTTCATTGCTTGGCTGGTAAACAATACAGATTTTTTTTTTTTTATAAAAATGTTGCTTCTAGAAAAGAAAATATTTTAGAGTTGATTCATTTGGATGTTTGTGGTCCTTTGAAAGTTTAAACAAATAGTGATGCACTTTATTTTGTTACTTTCATTAATGATTGTTCAAGGAAAGTTTGGGCTTTTGCACTAAAAACCAAAGATCAAGTTCTAGATGTGTTTAAGTATTTTCAGGTCATGGTTGAAATAGAAACAGGGCCGAAATTGAAGTGCATCTGAACAAACAATGGTGGTGAATACATTGGGTCATTTGATGAGTATTGTCGCAGCCAAGATATTCGCCGCCAAAAGACAGTTAAAAAGACTCATTCACAAAATGGCATTGCCGAAAGAATAAATCACATCATTGTGGAAAGAACAAGGTGCCTCCTTTCATATGCTAAATTACCAAGATCCTTTTGGGGTGAGGCAATGAGGACAACGGTTGACATGATCAATTTGTCTCATTCCTATCCTTTGAGTGATAATGTTTCCAAAAGAGTTTGGACCGGCAAGGATGTGTCTTATAAGCACTTGAGAGTGTTTGATTGCCGAGCCTTTGTTCACATTCCCAAGGATGAGACGTCCAAGTTGATAATAAGTCAAGACAATGCATTTTTCTTAGCTATGGGTGTGACAAATTTGGTTATAGATTGTGGGATCCGATCAACAAGAAAGTTATTCAAAGCCGTGATGTTGTGTTTCTTGAGGACCAAACAATTGAAGACTTTGGCAAAGGTGATCAACCGGAGCCAAAAACTAATGATTTCATTGATATAGATCCGTCTCCTTCTTCTTCGGAGGATGATGAAAATGGGGGAGATGTGTAGTCCCCTCTTGAAGATATAGTTGATAATGCTACTCTAAATGAAATTGAGCCCGAAATTAAGGAAAATCATTCAACTGAAGAACCGCCACTACAGCTTGAGTTGAGAAAATCTACAAAGGACCGGCAACCTTTAAAAAAGTATCCTCCCAATGAATTTGTGTCGATATTCGATCAAGAGGAGCTCGAGAGCTACCAAGAAGTAATTGAGCATGGAAAGAAAGCTGATTGGAAAAAGGGCATAGAAGAGGAAATGAATTCCATACTTGAAAACCGCATTTATGATTTGGTGAAGTTGCCTAAGGGGAGAAAAATT